TTGTTAACTGTGGTAGAATATATCTAATACACACTTTAACCATTTTCATGTATATAGTTCAGTGGCATTATGTGTGTTGATATTGATGTTCAAGACATCATGTCCTTCCTAAGGAATATTTGGTTTTAAATCAAAATCTCTTTTCTAGAACCTTCTTTTTGTTAAGGGATGATGACTGATAGTGTGGTTAAAGTGTACATGCGTGCAGTGTGCCCACTACTTATTCTCTGTCTTTCACAACCTAGTGTCTGTATATAATATTTTATTTTTTTTGTATATAATATTTTAGATCCCTCTTGCACACCTAGTGCATTTGTGCTCTCAGCCACGTATATAACCAGCCACACTTACCCTCTGTTTGGTGAACGATGTCCTTTCCACTCTCCTAATTTGTTTCCTCTTAGTTTAAAATTATATTTTTAAACTTTCCTTTACTTCTCTTTTTACTTTTATTTCTCCTAATTGCTCCTTCTTTTAACTTCATGTAGCAAAAATGAAGAAAAAAGTATTCACGAATAATGTTTCAAATGTTCTTTGTTTTTAACACCTTCGGTACTTGGGCAATTTTATTTTTTAGGTTTTTTTTTTCTTTTTCTTTTTTTTCTCCATAATTTTATTGAGAAACAAATATCCTAGGGTAATAGGAGACAGTTTAAAACCAAATTGGTAGGACAGTTTCAATAATTAACACATTACATATGTTCTTCCTAGTGGTTAATTGCTGTACAAGATGCGGACATGATATCCTATTTACAAACACCATTAGAACAAATCACTCTATTCATTAAGAGAATGTAACTATATATCTATCCTAACCACTTTGAATACACAGATACAAAATGGACATTCATCTGTATCCCCTTTTTTTGTTAAGTTCCGTTATTTGAATATTATAGGTATGTAAACTCAGCAAAATATTCTAAAAGAGTCCAGTAGCCCATAATAGTATTGGGTCTTCTGCTTCACTGGCAATGTCAGAAATTGTTGACCTGAGTCCCCTACAGGTCAACATAACACCATGGCTTTACTTCTTATACTTCGCTTATATATTTTTTCTGCTGGATGGTTAAGACCAAGGTAAAGCAGGACCTATGCAGCAAGAGTTGTAACTTTTGGGTATGAGAAGGTCAGTGAAATCCCCTCAGGATTTATCTTGAGATCCTGTACCTCAGATTGTAGAACCTTTGTCAGTGTCAGCCATGTGGATGAGTCACGGCCCTTGTTTGGCCAATGTGCTCTCTGTGAAAGCCTGAGAGAATGTTTTCTCTCCATGTGACTCTCCTTAGGCACACTCTACATCATTGATCACTTTCCTCTTTGGCCTCATAATCTCCTTGATCAGAAAATTTGGGACACTACCAAGTTACATGACATTACAGTACAAGTTCTCATATGTTCTGAGTCTTAATTGGGCAATTTTATTTTTATAGCACACCAGAGTCAAAAAATGCACCTCAGAATTTCATTTAATTAGCAAAATAAGTATGTATTTATGTCTATGTCCTAACAATTGAAAGACCATTATAAAAATAATATTCATGAATTGAAAGTCAAATTACTTTTATTTTATTCGTGGAAAACCAAAATTACTACTAAGATGTGTGCTTGTTAATACTATCCAGTCCTCAAACTGTGAAGTCCTGTAATCCACTCTCATCTTTATTTCTTATTTCACTGGAATTTGGCATTTCACACAACCATCATCAAAATTTCATTTTTGCAAGGCAATCACATCATTGAAGGAAAAATATGATCTAGTATTGAAATTAAAATACTGTAATTTGTGTTGTCGCAATGGATGTTGTTGTGGCATTGTTTGTTTGCATATCTTAAATACATTTTACCATTCCCTGTGAGTTTACTGTGGTCAGCTGGGACACCATAAGTAGCACAGTTAGGGAGTCGTTGGTTTTAGAGCCAGACAATGCTATTTGTATGAAAGAACAGCACTGTGGAGAATAGAAGCAGACATGCTAAAGGTATTCATCTTCGAAGTCCTCTGTAAGGCCTCTAGATCCTCTTTTTAAAAGTTCTCTGTAGATGTGACAATGTGTCATTTTATTCTTAGAATGAAACTTGTCCTCTTCTTAAGCACTAACCCTTTGTTTTAAAATCAACTATTTCATATTCATTTGTTTCTGCTATTGTTGTTATTCACTAGTATTTTTTTTCTTTTTGTTATTGTATGCTCTTCTTTTCACAAAATAATTTCTATTTTAGGCTAGTTTAGTTTTTAGGTTTAGCCTGTGCCTAATAATGAAGCATTTCTGACATGTAGAACACATGATAACTTCCAACCCATTAACTTACAAAGCTACTTCCAGGATCTTGCTTATTGTTTAACTGGAGACTTTGCCGTAGAAGTTCCCTGAAGCAAGTCAAGAATCTCACTCATTGCCATGTTGAAGTTACTATCTTTGCTGTCTGTCCAAGAGATAAACTGGTTTTGGACACAGATGTTTGGTTTGCCTTTGTCCTTGATTCCTTTGTGATTTCTCTTCGACAATGCACTCTTCACGTATTTACCTCTCAGCTTTTCTTACTGGCAAGACTTGGTTTAAGAAACCAACGGGAAGACAGACGAATTGTGAATGCAACTATCTTTGACCTTTGCTACCTTTAGTTTGATTAATGATGCTAGACTACAAAATCAAAGGGCTTTCTGTGGGTATTCATTTTGATTAAAGGCTGTCTTAATCTGGTCAGGTTGTAACAAACATCATAATCATAGACAGGGTGGCTCATAAATAATGGAAATTTATTTCTCATTGTTCTGGAGATGAAGAAAGTCAAGATAATTCAGTGTCAGCTAGCCGCTGTTTTGTGGTGGGAGGGTTTGATTTGTTTGTTTTTGTTTTCTGTCCTCAAATGGCAAAAGGGGCAAAGAAACTTTGTATGGTCTTTGATGAAGGAAATAATCTTGATTTTTATATTTCTGGCTTTCTCCTTATAAGGGCATCAGTCATCTCCCAAGGTCCTACCTTCATCACACTAGTCACCCTTAAAATTAGGATTTTAAAAGGTAGGGCAGATAGCTCATTGGATTAAAGCATGTACTTAGGCAGACGCAAGGACCAGGGTTTATTCCCTGGCATGCCATGCCAACCCCATCCCTGGGGCTTGCTAAGATGGCAACTGAGCCTGGGCGTGGTGGCACACACCTGTAATCCCAGAGCTTGGGAGGCTGAAGGCAGGAGGATCACTAGGAGTCCAATCTGTGTAGTGAGACCCTGTAGACTCTGTACTAACTGCATAAAAAAAAAAATTAGGATTTTAACAAATGAATGAATAGCACACAGTCTGTAGCAGGATTCAACTGCATTCTTTTTATTGTGTTTCATTAAAAATCTTTTGGGGCCAGGGAGTTGGCTCTGTAGATCAAACACTTCCCTGGCAAGCACAAGGGTCTGAGTTTAATCCCCCATTCCAGAAAAAAAAAATCTTTCAAGAGAAATGGTAGTATATTAAGCATAGGACATGTTAAAATTTCTTTTTGATGGGGAGATTTTAGAATATAAGCATAGGAATTTTTTAAACATGTGGAAACTTCTGAAAATAGAAATTAATATTTTGTAAAGTATTAAAATAATTTCAAATTTAAAGTATTATTCCTATATAATCCCTGTATTGCAAATGGATATGTTTCAGCTAGTGCTCTCTATAGCTTGAGAAACATTCATGTAACTTCTCATAACTTTACCTTCCATCTCAGTAAACGCACAGGCTACATTATTTAATTGGTTTACTGAGTGTTTTTCTCTTTTTTCTTTCAGATTTTATTGAACTTATCCAACATATCTTGCTGGCTGAAATTGAGGTCAGTGCTACATTTATATTGATCATGAATAAATTGAAATAAGATAAAAGTGCCCTGGGCTCTCAATTGTTAGAGCATGATATCTTTGCAAAGTACGTAAAAAGCTGAAATGAAGTGGAAATTGATTATTTTTCAAACTTGGCTCACTAAAAAACGTGGTTTCCTGAGCATGTTTCTTTTCATAGTGGTTATAGTTTTTTTAACGCATGTTAAACTCCTTTCACCTTAGTGGCTGGGTTTTGATTAAATATAAAGATCAGTTTTATTTAATTCATTTTATTAACAGCAGTATTAAAAGTATGGCCTCTTTAGAAGGCTGAACAGTATGTTAAAGAATGCTCCGCTTTCTGAATTCACAGGCATACTCTTGATTACATGTTCAGTACCCACAGAGAATTCATGTAGTGAGGAGAATAGATTTGAAAATACATTTCTGAGCTAAAAATTTCAATTAACTAGAAGACTATTAAGATATAAGTTGAGTTTATTGAAAACACATAGCCTGGCTTCCTCTTCTTATATGCTGCTTAGTATATTCTATGTACATTTAAACAATGCATTTTCTCTTAAAATTACTTAAACTGTGTCTGCTCTTTTTTCCTAAGTTCCATGTCACTTACCTGCCAAACAGAAATTACAACAGGGTAAGACATTTGTAGAATGTATTTATTTGAAGTAGGAATATTTTCAGTGAACAAAATTAAGCCTGAATTTTTCCCTTTTATTTTAATAAGACGCAAACTTTTCATTTTCTGGTTTTTAGTTTCTGGTTAATATGATCAATATAGTATTTTGAAATCGTGTTTTAATCTGGCCAACTTTAAAAAGTGAACAAAAAGTAAAATGAAATAAGATTTTGTTAGAAAAAAATAGTAATAATACACAAAATTCTGTCTTAATCTGACAGGCACAGATAAGATAAAAGTGCCCTGGACTCTCGATTGCTATATCATATCTTTGCAAAGTAAGTAAAAAGCTGAAATGAAGTGGAAATTGATATACATAAAACATGCAAAATGTGGAAATATGTTTCAAACCCTACTATCAGGTCTGCTGAAATGAGAATAAAAAGAATGATAAAAGAAATTGTATGATTATTTTAAATAATTTTATGAAAGGAGGTAGATTTATCAAAACTTTTACAAAATGCATTATTGGGCTGGGGAGATGGCTCAGTGAAATAAGTACTTGCCTGGCAAGCACAAGGTCCTGAGTTCAATCCCTGGTACCACCAAAAAAAAAAAAAGTATTAAATGTATTATGACTGGCAAAATAGCTCAGCAGATTAAATGCCTGTTTAGGCAAGCAGAGGGATGGTTTCCATCCCCAGAACCCCATGCCACGCCAGCCCTGCCCCCAGGCACACTGAGTTGGCGACAGTCCGGTTATAGTGATACACGCCTGTAATCCCAGCACTGGGGAGGCTGAAAACACAAAGATCACTATGAGTCCAAGCTCCATAGTGAGACCTTGTACCAAATACATTTTTTAAAAAATTATTAATTCATGAGAAGCAGTTTCATATTCCACACAGAATATATATATTGAAAATTACCATTATTTTCTCAACCAGAACTAAATTGTTTTGGTTGACAAAAGAAATGTTCCTTTTTATAAAAATCTTGTTTTTCTATATTACTTGACAAAAATGAAAATGATTGCTCAATACAAGCAAGATATAAATAAAAACACATGAAATGATTTATGAAAAATCCTATTGCAATACCACATTAATTATAAGATGTACATTTTCACATGAAATCAGGTGATTTTACAATTAAATGGGCAACATTTTTTTTCTTCGTGATAAATGGTGTGTATATTTTAGTGAATTGCAACTTAGATTCTGTGAAACACAATATTACTGAATGTGCAGTGAGAAAAATGAAATCCTTAATATAGAAATGAATTGGACAGCATATAAAAAGTAGGAAAGTAGACAATAATTTTTAACCTGTTAGCTACACACTTTGCTTTTGAAAATAAGCTGTAATTTTTTGAGTTATTTATTTTTGTTTATCATTAAACTGATACCAGTTTTTTGATGTTATTCTCATGTTATTGTATTTTTTAAAAATTAAAGTTAAACTTTGCATCCTCTAACTTTCACTTAGTTGAAAATGTGATTTTTAAGTGGTTGTAAATATTTTAATATAGTTATTGTATAATTTACTTCACAATTTACCCACTGTTGGGCAGTAAGACTTTATAGTATTTTACTGTTATGGATAGCGTTATTATGAAAATGATTCTACAAAATGTTTATGTTCACCACTAACACTGTTCTTAGTATGACTTCTATACAGTTTAAGGAACAGTAATACATTTGGAGTTATGCATTGTGAACATTAGTCAAAATTTTTGTACCAGTTCACAGTCTGTGGTATCATATCATATTGCATATTGCAATTTGGATATTGCCAGATTGCAATATCCAGTATTAGAATTAGAATTTTTGAATTATTTTTCCATTTGATATGCAAACAATGGTTTCTCACTTTAAAAAAAATCTAATGTGGAATAGAAAAGTGGTCTTATAAAGGCAAGCCATTGGTCATTAAAAATCAATGTAAACAAAATAATTTCCTTTTTGCATAAAATTGCCTGTCAATGTTACTTGCACTAACGCTATCTTTGTCATCTTGGGGAAGGCTACTCAGTCTTGTGTTGTTGAAGCAACAATGTCAGAAACTGAATATTTTCCATTACTATAAAGACAGATGATGGTTTATGTTGTATTAATCATGTTTTTCTTGAAAAAGAGATTCAGAATCCTGAGGGATGGAGCCAGTATAACAGTTTTAATAGAGGTCTAAGCTTACTTACATCGAAATATTGCTTAACAAGTGGCATAAGGCACAGCTGTTTTTCTGGAAGTGTTTGAAATGCTGTAAGAAGAATTAAGATTATTCTACATGTCTGACAGGCGCAAAAGGTTAAAATGCTTGTTAGCTAGTGTGGAGGTTTCATGAATTTTGTCCTGAATGTTTTAAAAAATTTAGAGTGCTGTCCTAAATTGATGTCTAGTGTCTTTAGTCTGATTTTTGCAAATGAAAAGTTAAAAGACAGATATTGCTATACATTTCAGGTTATCTTTATCAATGTTTCTTCTTCATCCAGTGAATAAATATTTTCTTTTATCCTTTCTCAATGCACTCAATACATAGATTCATATTCTTTTAGCAAAGATATTGTTGGCAAACAAAGTAGTATATTACTCAAATAAACAGATTTGTACTGAAAAAAAGGATACAAAATTCTACTTCTGTAATGAAATCTGGAGTGGAAGGAGGGTACCATTTACACTCTCCCAGTAAGCTTCAGGGCTCTGAGCTGTCCAGAGACGAGGCAGAACTTTGGTAGCTGCTTGGTCAGCCAGCTTTGTGGCACTGTCGTAGGGAGAAGTCGTAGTTCTCTTCCGTCTTGTTTCCTATTGCTTCACATATCTCTCACAGCATATCTTCTCACTTTATTATGAGTCCTTCTAGATGTGTCTGTCTCATTTAGCAGTACCTATCAGCTCATTAAGGAGAGCCGGGGTCTTTATTTTTTGCTCATTGCCCTAGTGGGACTCTAAAAGAAATGTGTATATGTTGAATTATTGCGATCGAACACAATGAAAACCTCATATTATCTACCTGTAGAGT